GGCAGTGTACCTTCTCTAAATTAGTCACACAAAAGCACAGGAAGGATTTTAACTCTACTCAACGAAGAATGCACATCAGGTAAGTTCAGCTTTTTTATGTTTTTATTTAAAGGTACAATATGCAAGATTGTTTCGCCACCAGGGGTCGCTAACCTCTTACAATAACAAAGGCGTATATTAATGACGTATATTGCGTATTAAGCGGAAATATGGATGTTGTCGTCAAGCTGATGGATCTTTAATGGATGAGTGAATACATTGATGTTTGTAACATGAAGCAGGGCGCGATTGCTAGACGTATACCAGCGCCACACGCAACGCGAGTCCGTCGATATAAGGGAATAAGGAAATTTAATTCTACCAAACTACACGCTGAATTACTCACACAGGTCAGTTTATTAGAGGAATTAAACTTGAAGTAACGCAGCGCTGCTTCACTTGCTCTAACAGATCACACTAAACGGCATTTGAGTGTGTTGAACGTTAGTTAGTTAGGTTGTTTGTTGACTGAATGAGACTAAGTTAGATTAACATTAGAGAATAACATACAGATCATATTCTAACTTTTCATCATGTTGAACTATTTAACATTGATTAGTTTTATATACATTGATTTGCTCACCTGTTTGCTCAAGTAATATGCAACACTCACGTCCCCGTCAAGTCGAAGTTAGTCGCGGACGTGGAGCTCTCGGCATTTCGAAAGATGTTGATCTTCGTTTTAGTCCTCTTTTTGTCTCAAAGGCTGCTTGCCATGGTCCATAATGTTTGAACAAAACCCTGCTAGGGACGCTCACACTGTTGAGCTCGCATAACGGGCATAACCGACCCAGTTGTCCACGTCTGTCGCCATGGTTACTATTGCAGTACGAGGTCAAACCTGGTGGAAACCGGGGGTAACGCGGATATGACGTCATTGACTGGCGACTCCTCACCCCTGCTCACACGCCCCATTTCCTTGGTTAAAAATCGCAATTTTCTCACGATTTACAAATAGTTGGAAACATTTGGGATATTGTAAGTAGTCAAACATTGGCCTAGTGGGTTTTGGATATTTTACTGCAAAATCCTACATATTGTACCTTTAATTTATGAAAATTTTAAATTACGACGTTTGCGGTGCATTCAACTCGTGAATAATGCACCAACTATGCCAACCTTTGCATGCCGATTTCACATGTGCACTTGCAGAGAGAGAGAGAACACACCCACACTCTCTTCTGATTGGCTGTGATATTTGATTGATTTTGACGCGTATGGTAGCCGTGTCGTGTCGAGTGTCTCGCTGAGATCTTATAGCATTGCTTCTGGTTAGAACATGATGTAAGCGTGGAGCTACAGATTGTGTGACGTCACGTTCGTATTGCCTACCTCCAATGAGCGTGGGCGTTCCCTGGACGAGGCTCCAGGGTCCTGTGAGGAACTGCTGGCAGGAGAGATGGGACATGAAGCTCTTGGGGGGGTGTCCGGGAGGGGTGCCGTGGGAGGCGGTGGCGGAGGTGTGCTGGATCTTGTTGGGGAACCGAATACTTGTTCATAGTGTGAGATCATGAACTCCACGAGAAGAGCCTGATAGCTGGTTTCCAGGAGGGCGATCATCGACACGTCCCCCGACACCAGGGGCCGCAGGAGCGTGGGGCCAAACACGATGCCCAGGTTTCCTGGAGACATTTTGTTGTCTTCATATTGGTCTGCCACTCTGAAGAGAAGAAAGTGATGGATTAGTAGCGAACCACGTCATTTAGATGAGCGTTAATGTAGCTTCAGACAGTATGGTACCTGTTTAAGTGGGCGGTCATGTGCTGAACTGTTTTGTAGTTACACAGAGGCAATCGACAAGTAAGCTCTCGGAGTTTGAGCACAATACTCTCCACAATCCCAACAGTCTCGGCAACATGATCCTTTTCACTAAGCCTCTGAATCTCCTTACCCACGTTGATAAAGTCGTTGTAAAGGTCAAAGGTGAGTAACGGCTCTGGAAGCTGTGAAAGAGATAGATGACCACATGAGGGGATTAATCCCAAAATATTTTTCAAGGAATGAGAAGATTACTGTAAATAGAGTGTAACTGTCGGGTACGGGTTGTAAAAATCCCGTTCATTTTCTCTATAGCGAATTAATTTTAAACAATAACTTTTAAACCATTAAAGGATTAGTTCACTTTTAAAAAACTTTTGCTGATAATTTACTCACCCCCATGTCATCCAAGATGTCCATGTCTTTCTTTCTTCAGTCGAAAAGAAATTAAGGTTTTTGATGAAAACATTCCAGGATTTTTCTCCATACAATGAACTTCAATGGGAACCAAACGGTTCAAGGTCAAAACGAATCTTTTCCCGAGTCAACTCGTTCATTCCGTTAGTTGAATGAACCAAATGACACGAAAAAAGATTCGTTCATTTTGATAAACGAGTTCGAACAGGAGAGTCACGAACGCGCATCACAGAACAGAGCAAGGCGACCATTTGAGCTTATAAAACTTAAGCTTAGTTATTTTTTTATTAAATGAGCGATCGTTTCGCTTGATAAGACCCTTATTCATCGTCTGGAATCATTTAAAGCCCTTTGAACAGTTTGTAGTTTGCACTGAAACTGTCTTTTGGACCTTGAACCGTTTGGTTCCCAATGAAGTCCATTATATGGAGAAAAATCCTGGAATGTTTTCATCAAAAACCTTAATTTCTCTTCGACTGAAGAAAGAATGACATGGACATCTTGGATGACATGGGGGTGAGTAAATTATCAGCAAACGTTTTTTTTTTAAAAGTGAACTACTCCTTTAATGGAAATACATTTTTAAAGCATTTTGATTAATACAAAATGACATTTTTTAATTCAATTGTTGTGAATAAACGTTCGATTTTGTTCTGTCCATCATCCAGTCCTGGCTATGAGGCCGACAGCGTCTCCTCAGGGGCATCCGGAGCACGCTGCAGAAAGTCAACTACAGACTCAGTCGAGGGGTCACTTCAGCAGGCAGCCGGTCAAGTACTACAGACAGGGTTCGGCAGGAACACACTTACACAAAGCAGACTCTCAGTCGCGGGACGAGGACAATTCTGGGAGCGGGCAAGGACTTGTGCCAGGAAGTGCAGACAGCAGCCGCAGCTCCTCTCCTGAGCCCGAGACCCCCATGACAACTCACTCACGATTACACGAGACCCCTAGCCCGCAGAATAAGACTGGATGCAGTCAGACTGCACCTCACACAGGGGTGACGAGGACAGTATCGGATGAGGGGGTGACACCAGTAGCTTCTGGTGTAATGGGCAAACGAAACACCAACCAGTCGAACAACACCCTGGGCGGGAGAGAGCGCTTGATCCGATCCTTGAGGAGGCGTCCGACGGAGGAGAGAACGGCACAGAAGGGCCTGTCCGGACTGAGGCTGAAACGCAGTGATTCAGGGAGGGCCGAGAAGCTCCATTTTGTTTGACACCGTGAAGCATGTTTACTTCACTGATGGGGTTGCTGGGATTAATCCCATTTTGTGCTGTAAAGCCAACAGTATTTTAGTAGGCAACGCGCTGTACATTTTTTTTTTTTAGTTTCCCTGCTTTGTGGCGTATGACGTACAGTGTAGTTAAATCACAGTACAGATGGTAGTTTCCACTCTCACTGGAAATCTGGCACAGATTTACCTGTGTTTGTTTTGTTATTCATAGACAGTCTGTCTTGTATAGATGTATGATGCTGAAACATGACTCCTTTTAGGATGAACATGCAATATATGGAAGTAACAACAACAAACTGGCTTTTTTTTGTTTTGTTTTTTCGGATTCTTTGAAACTGACATTCGACAATACATTCAGAAGAATCAGAATCAGAAAGAGCCCAGTGTACATAAATACAACAAGAAACATAGTATTATAATAGAAAAATTTTAATATAAAAAATATGAGAATAAAAGTTGGGTTTAGTCAGGATAAGCATTTACAGATTATGAGCGTATTTACAGTGTTTTAAATGTTTTATCTACATATCACCTGAGTTTAAGATCTTGCACTGAACGGTATTGCACTTATTAGGACCTTACCGCTTATCATGCTAATTGTCCAACGCATTCTCATCCTTTAGCGTCATATATGAGAAAACGGCGCTATACTACGCACATGGCACCCGTTATCGTTAATATAACACGCGATGTGATGGTTAGGTTTAGGTGTGGGGTAGGGTAGGGTAGTCTCATATTACGCTAAAGGATTTATGACGCCTTGGGTTCGCGTGAATATTAACGATAATGGGTGCCATGTGCGTAGTAAAGAATAGATTACTTGAGTTTACTTTAGCCTTTAATTGGCTGGCGCCACTAGATGGCAGACGTGACTCGTTTTGACCTGCATTGCTTTTGATGACATGCTCTAGGTATAATTGGGTATATTAATTACCTAAAAAAATGACTTTAACTTCCATACTAGCCATTGTTTTGTCAAATTTGCATGTACTACGCGTTTCCCTACTGTAGCCCATAAGCTATTTTACAAATACATGCTTCTGTCATTGATTTTTGTGTTAAAACGCTCGTAATGTATAGGCTACATGATTATCATATTTAATATAGGCATACAGACTACGAGAACAAATGACACTTTTAATAATTATCCTGTTGGCTTTCATCCGTTTTCAACCGTAGCTAAATGACAAGTTCACTCACAACTTGAACACCCATTTGTCTGTAACTTTCATTGGACCAAATGTACAAAAATATGTCTTTCATCTTAAGTCTATTGTTCTTTAGGCTATACATACATACAATCTGAGATTAGGCCTATTATAGGCCTAGTTATGATGTATGGAGTAGCCTACCAATCTTTTCATTTAAAAAATCCTGTCATTCAGAAACTATTTAAACTATTTCTCGGAAGGGAAAACGGCGAGATGATCGTTGCCACATCGTCTACTTTGTAAATGCCCGTGTTTTCTTCTTCTTGCACCCCTCCTTCAGCAGTCATTGATTGTGCGCGCGCAGCCCGAGTCTTCACTCCATCATCACATAAAGCGCGCGCCTGAACGTCACACACTCACAGTCTGGCGATGCTTTTGCGCCACTGCGTGTATTCTGGACTATAGCTAACACTAAAGTTTGGCTTTTGATGCACTGTTGCCCGTCCTCTTCTTCAAAGGTATTTTGATGTTACCAAAAGAAATCTCTGGAGGAGTGTGTTTCAGCGCAAGGTAAGCGCACGAGACGCATCTGAGCATCACCTGCTCTACAGAATGAGACGAATGATAGACTTGAACTTTTCTCTGTCGGCTCGGCTTTAAAAAACACTTTTAACAAAGCCTAGCAAATATTCCACTACGATCTACATTTTACAGAATTGCTCAAGTTTTAATTTGAATAACGAATTTATTAATTTGCCTCTAACATGTTCGTGGTAGCCTACTTTAATAGACACTAGTAAAACTGTCAAACACTTGGCAAAGGGAAACTTCTCTCTTACAGCTATTTTATGAGTTCAGCTCAGGCCAGAAAATATGAAAAATTAAAGAGTGTGAATTTTAAATCTAACATTTACTGAATAAATAATCATTTTAAAAAGGACATATTTTTCATTAGCTATTTTTTTTTATTTGGTAGACAATAATTAGCCTAAAATATGAATTTTCAAAACTTGTTTAAAAACAAATGAGCACATGTTATAGATCAATAGGCTGCGTCACTCAATCACGTTTTGGTTTCCGTTCGTTAATTATTTGGTTTCGAGTTAAAAAAAAAATAGGCTATATAAAATTTCCTTTTTTAAATTGAAAAAGCGCCGCTTTTTCACTCATTAGCAACAAACAAATCAAATTGATATTGTTCGTATTTATGCTATCACAGAACAGCTCTCATGTCATGGACCACCTTCGATTGTAGCCTAAATTAAAACTAAACTTTGTCAAATTAAATGGACGCTATCAAAATAGGCATATCAAACGATATCATCAATAGCCTATCAACTTGCGTCAATTAGCCTATTATGTCGTAAAATAGCCTAATAATTGTTTATCGGCTTAGTAAAATACTTTGAGTCAAGTTTATTTTTCTATCAAACAATTAGACCTTTATACAGGCCTAAACAAAATATCCTAGACGACAGAAGTTAGGCTATAGCCTATGGACAGCCTAGGCTATTAAAATACATTTATAGTTTGATCACATTTATAGCTAGCCCTACGTTAAATAAAAATGCTGACATATTGCAGGTAAACGCGAATCACAGTGATTATTCCTCAGTGATGACCCGCGATTAACATGGATTTCAGCCATGAGGAAAATGCAACTTTTCAATTGTCAGGATAGGCAGAAATAAACAGAATGATGGTGATTATAATAATAGCTAGGCTATATTAACCTATTTTTTAAATACCAACAAAAAAAATATAACTAGCCTACAATATTGTAAAATCAATTAAACACAACGAAATAGCCTACACAAATTAGGATTTTGATTCCCCTCTTTTTTGACGTTTTGCAGGCATCAGATTAATTTAGAGTAGCCTATGCTAAATCTCGAATGATCGCCTTTTAATTCTAAAGTACAATAATTAGCTATAATTATGAAATCTGAGTGCGACGGCTTTAGACCGGAAAAGACTTTATTTTTTTATTTTTTTATTGTATTGTTTCATTTTGCCAAATCAATGCGTTTGAGCCAGTCGCAATACGAAGCCGCGCGCCTTTCCGCCGGACCGGACACTTCACCTGCGCGCGCTCCCGAACACATGTTGAGCAGTGAGACAAAAAAAAAAACATGCACCAAACACATCGAGAAAAAGAGTAGGCCTATACACTGTAAATAAATAAATGTAGGCCTACCCTGTGTAAAAAAAAAAACGCATGGCAGCGTCGACGCAGAACTTGGCATTGTTCCAAGCATTTAGATGACATTTATAGCTGCTATTGATCTTATGTCTTTAAACCATATGCTACTGTTAGTAGGCTATATATGCTAACATATTGGCCTATTAATAAATATGGCTATATATATAACCTACTAAAAATAACAATGACGTAAAGGTCAACAAAACTGTCTTCTCCAGCAATCGTGAGCATTGATAACATTACCGACACACACCAAACACCTTCAGTGTGTTAAACGTGTCTAAAATATTGCAGTAGGCTATCGTTGCAGTAAAACTTAATTAAACGTCACACAATGCAACATAAAGCACCCCTTTATACATAACCATAACAAAATAAGATTTTTTTTTTTAAATGTAACTCAACAATTTAAATGTATCCTTCCTGAAGGGAATATCCCAAAAAATCCAGCAATATTGTTCCAAGAAAGTATTATTTTTGTATGGCTATATTTCACATCTATATGCTATGTTTATCATACATACATCTATTACAGAGTAGAAACCCTTTTTACACTAAAATAAATTTTTCATTTTATAATATGGTAACTTACAGTCAACACATTTTTACCCTTAAACCCTTTTTTTAACAAAAATTTCTAATGTATTTCAGTGCACATTAAAATCGAACCCACGCCGGACCTGATTTAGTCTTTTGCTAATGAAACCAATGATGCTCTGTTTCCTCACACATTATACTGCAATCATATAAATATCTTCAAATCACCGTGTGCATTTTACTCATATATAATGAATAAAATATGACAAATGAGCAATTACAAGCAGCAATTAATTTGATATAACCGCATCTGATTGCACTCTCCATATGTGAGTTTTCTTTGTTGCGTTGTTGGCCTTCAGTCAGCACTCAAAAGACGGGAGGACCGGAATGAAAACAGAAGAAAACCAATCATGTCTTCAGCAGGCCCCCTCCGCCACCCCTTACGGTGAATATTCTGCCTAATGGACCCACAGCATATTAAAGAACACAAAGCTTTGTTTTATTAATCGGATATCATAAATGGATGCTGTAATGTGTGTATTGAGTCTCTGGTGGCACATTTGCTTGTGTCCTGTCATCTGACACCTGTGCTCTTCTTCTCCATCAGAGCATGTGGGAGGAGGCGAGGTGTGTGCAGGGTGCGAGTCTCCCATCGCCGACCGCTTCCTCCTGCGCGTCAATGAACTGTCCTGGCATGAGACGTGTGTCAAGTGTGCGGTGTGTCGCAGCGCGCTGAGTGGGACCTGCTACTGCCGGGACCGCTTGCTTTACTGCAAGCATGATTATGAGAAGTAAGTCAGTTCGATCTGCATACTGCACCTGTACACTGAATCAGTCCTAGTATGGAAAAGCATCAGGGTACTGTCTGTAAGTCGACATGTAGTGCACTAGAACATTCCTCTGTAAAAGTGTGTTTAGTCCGATCATGCTGTGATGTTATTGTGGAATATGACACATTTCCTTTAGCATATGTAGCTAAAGGTTGGGTAGACTTGGTTGAAACGCTCCTCAAGTCGTGATAGCAATCTATAATAGAAGTGGTCGAAATATTGAAACAAGTGGAAGCCTTTGGACCAAAACATGTTTGTCTAATCGGTCCGAATGCAATGATACGATGTCCCGCCTGCCTGTATGTCCATATCTCCACACACGCAGACATCACACGGCATCATGCTATCAAGTGACCAAGTGAAAAATCAGGTCCTCCCTCAAAACATTAGGTATGTTTACATGCATTCATTTTCGTAAATCAGAATGAATCAATCTGATTTCAGATTCTGAAAGTTGTTTATTTGAAATAAGACCTTTTTTTCTCTTCCACTCACTTGTAAGACGTCTATGCACGGTCATAAGATCTATACATACACACATCAGGGCACTGTATTTTTGAGAAAGTAGTCAGAATCAAGTGTTTGCATGCTTAATGTTTTCCTTATTATTAGATTATTTTAGGTCAATACCAACACTTTCAATCCCATCATACCTTTCACTTTCATTCAGAATCAAACTCAATCAAGGTGTTTACTTGAAGGCTTTTAAAGTCTGATTGGGCCATTAGTCTGATTATAAATGGATTATTTGCAGCCCATTCTCACCCCCAAGGCGTCATCTAACTGATGCCTTGGGAAACATTTTGACCATGCTTCAATATCTGACGCTTTAGGCGCCCTTTAGTGTCAGTTAGATGACGCCGTACACTCTCAGAAAAAAAGGTTCAAAAGCTGTCACTGGGGCTGTACCTTTTCAAAAGGTACCCTTTTGAACCCAAAGGCTGCATATTGCTACCTTAGTGGTACATATTAGCACCTAAAATGGACATATTAGCTCCTGAAATGTACACATTAACACCTCAAATGTACATTTTAGCACCTAAAATGTACATATTATGACCTAAACTGGACATATGAGCTCCTGAAATGTACACATTACCACTTAAAATGGACATGTTAGCACTTAAAACGTACATATTAGCACCTATAATGTACATATTAACACCTAAAATGTACATATTAACACCTACAATTAAAATGTACATATTAACACTTAAAATGTACATATTACACACATAAAATGTACATATTAGCAATTAAAAAGTACATATTAGCACCTAAAAATGTACTTATTAGCACCTAAAATGTACATATTAACACCTAAAATGTACATATTAGCACCTAATATGTACAAATTAACACTTAAAGTGTACATATTAACACTTAAAATGTACATATTAGCACCTAAAATGTACATATTAGCAATTAAAAAGTACATATTAGCACCTAAAAATGTACTTATTAGCACCTAAAATGTACATATTAACACCTAAAATGTACAATTTAGCACCTAAAATGTACATATTAACACCTAAAATGTCCTAAAATGGAAAAAGGTTACCTTTTGAAAAGGTACAGCCCCAGTGACAGCTTTTGTACCTTTTTTTCTGAGTGTAGGATCGCGTGTAACCCTACCCCCAACCCAGACCTAAACCTACCTGTGTCATCTAACTGACGCTTTTCCTTTAGCGTCAGTTAGATGACGCCGTAGGATCGCCTAAAGCATCAAATATTGAAGCATGGTCAAAAGGTGACACCTTGGGGTGTGAATGCGTTGTTATTTGAGTGCATGTAAACACTCACCCTCGTATTATTCCAAAAATTTATGTGGAAAACAAAGGAGAACTCTGATGAACCATTAAAGCAGTTCATATGATTCGTACAGTATATTCCAAGTCATTGGGACGTGAATAAAGACAGAATTGACATTTTTCTGCTATGAATCAGTCTGTCTGTTTGGGTCAGAGGGAGATTCCCAGCAACCATAATTTGTCAGTGACATCACCAGGAGTGCGGACAGTTGAAGGGCGATTTTGTGGCCTGTTATCACTGTTATGAGAAGTGTCAGACACTGCTGAGATGTGTGGACACTCCCTCTGTTGCTGACATCTGGAGGCCAACAGAAAGAAACAAGAAGGACAGGAGAGAATGAAAGAAGATGGGAAAGTAAGGTGGAAGAATTCCCAATGGGAATATGAAATAATCCTATATGTTCCCGGAAAGATAGATCACCTGAGATCCAGGGTACGAAATCACCATATTAACTGACATTGCTTTTCTTGACACCGTTGAAGAAAAATGGGACAATGGATTTGATAATCGTTGTTCATAAGGGCTTGCAGCAAGGATGTCATAATGAGGGTAAAAGTGATCAACGATTACAAATGAGAAGGTTGTTCAGGGACCGTAGCACGGTAAAAGTGTTCTTGTGCAGGCTGGTACTGTTATTCCCATGAGCTTGATTCATTTGTATCATCAGACGGACTTTTTTCCACTATTCTGGTGGAGTTTCCCTTAAAGGAGTCATATAAGATGATATTTTAAAAGGTCATTATTTTGTTTACTGGGTGTTAAAGGGGTGATGAACTGAGAAATCAAATTTTCCTTGAGCTTTTGACATCTAAGAGGTCATCATATTATAAGAATAGGTTTCAGAACTGAAAAAGTCCTTGTTAGTCCAATAAAAGCTTTTATTGACACCAGGCTCAGCAAACGACTCGTTTTTCAAAGTGGGGAACTATGACGTCAAAGAGGATAAAACACCACCCCCGCAGAAGAAGATCAACGCCTACTTCAACACGGCCGGTTTAGCCCCGCCCACCGATTACACGCATAGCTAAATAACATAGATGCCTACCTCGTGATGACAAACCAGATTGAGCTACCAAGCAATACAGAATATTGTGCAGTGCCTGGTTGTGGAAGAAGACAGTCGCTGCATGAGTTTCCTCTGGATTCCAATAGGACTGCATGGATAAACTTTATTTTTAATGACGTTCCAGCTGATGAGGTAAAACATTGTCCCTCTATTCGCTTCATTTCACTGAGGATTGTTTTGTGAGCAAGACTGGATTTGCAGACCGATTAAGAGTAAAGAACGGTGCTGTGCCGTCTATATTGGATCTGACAGGAATTGTGCAACACACGGACTCTGGGTCGAACATGTATGGGCGAATCATTCCGGTTGCCATTTTACAACATTGGACGTTTTCAAAACAATTTCCCCCAAGTGAATCGATGGGTGAGTTGAAACTCATTATAATATGCAAAACTGTTATCCACTCACAGCAGTGGGCGTTTACTTCCAATTCTTCAGTGCGAGACGCCCATAAAAACCGAGCGTTTTTGAGCTAGGCTCAAAACTAGGGTACAAAATATCCTATTACTTATTCATTTTGATATTTTTGAATGTAAAAAACAAGAGAACGTCATAAGTTGACCTCAGACAACAGTATAATAAAATTTAAAAAGCCAGTTCATGACCCCTTTAATGTCCAAAAGACAAATTATTTTTATTGCAGCACCTCATTCACAGTCTGTCAGAAACGCTCTGATTGAGTTCAGAAAAAAGACCCTCCTTCCGAAAATGCCCTGATTGGCCAGCTGACCCCATGGTTTATGATTGGTCAAATATTTCAAGCCTGTGTCAGATACTGTATGTAACACGCCTTTACCATAATCGCGAACCTCAGCTTCCTTTCTAAAGCAACTGTAAACCCACAGTTATTAATGTCGTTGGTTTTACCAAATCGGTTTGAGTCATTAAAATAAAGCAAATTGACATGGAAATACATGTTTTTTACAGCAGCCTCTCTGATATCTTGAGTAGATTAATCAGCAGAAGTTATTTTTACTCCCCCACCTGTGCGTGACGTCATTAATATTTATTGCTGAACCAACGTTGTTCAAATGACAGAGGTGCGACCATTATACGTTTCGGAAACAGTCACGCCTAGTCGGTTAGTTTCTCCAAGGATGCATCGCACTACGGTAATTAATCAGCGAGTTACGCTGTACAGGAAACACACATGCCACAAAATGGCGACAACACTGAAGCCTCACCTTCTTTCTTTCCATATGCCTTTGGACGGGCATTATGCTAATATGTCACATTGTGGCGTAGACGTTCACGAAAGTAGGATCGAGGCGTTTCAGGCAGGTCTGGATCCTCTGTTACATAGTGAATAAACCTCTTTCTGGGAGACTAGGAGCGTTATAACTTTGCAGATCTGATACATCCACAATCAGATACACTGTAAAAAAATATTGTTGATTTAACTTAAAAAAATGAAGTAACCTGGTTGCCTTAAAACTTTGACTTCATTAAAATTGAAAAATTGAATTAATACAATGAAGGAGATTGATTTAATAATCAGAAACTCAAAATATTATGTTATCTGAACCACATAAATTATCTAAGTTGTTTTGACAGAAGAAAAAACGTTATGATAACAAATCTTGATTATTTTTTACAGTGTACAGTCCACACTAAAGGAAAAGGAAAGCATAAAAACAGCATCTTATGGCCTCTTTATATTCTTAACTTTCTTAATCTCATCCCATATGTTGAGAAAGTAAGAAAGGTACAGGGAAAGGTTTGGTTTGCAGATGTTATTTGTGGATATTGAGGCTGCCGCGTGGTATGTGGTGTATTTGTGGAGGAAACTTGGCACACTCTTGTACGGCTGACCTTGAGTGAATCCACAACAATGTCTCCTTGTGTTCTCTGCGGTCTGTCCGTCAGCACACACCTGCCTCTTTACCCCTGCTCGGTCTACAGCAGGTGTGTGCTCCATTTTTTGGGGTGCCAAGGAATCTTTGATGAGTAAAAAAAAGGAATTTGGGGGGGAAAAAGCTTTCTTGTGCTAACATTCTACTGTAAAAAATTACTTAGAAAATATTATTTAACTGAATCATAATGGCAACAAAAGTCATTTGTAATTTTAGGCTACTTGAGGTAG